TCCATCCATCCATCCATCCATCCATCCATCCATCCATCCATCCATCCTCTTCCGCTTATCCGGGGTTGAGTCGTGGGGTAGCAGCCTAAGTAGGGAGGCCCAGACTTCCCTCTCCCCAGCCACTTGGGCCAGCTCCTCTAGGGGAATCACAAGGCGTTCCCAGGCCAGCCGAGAAGCATAGTCCCTCCAGCGTGTCCTGGGTCTTCCTCTGGGCCTCCTCCCGGTGGGACGTGCCCGGAACACCTCACCAGGGAGGTGTCCAGGAGGCATCCTAACCAGATGCCCGAGCCACCTCAACTGGCTCCTCGATGTGGAGAAGCAGCGGCTCTACTATGAGTCTCTCCCGGATGATCGAGCATCTCACACTATCTCTAAGGAAGAGCCCAGACACCCTGCGAAGAAAACTCATTTCGGCCCGCTTGTATCCGAGATATCGTTCTTTCGGTCACAACCCAAAGCTCATGACCATAAATGAGGGTAGGCATGACATGATGATTCCTGTAAAAAAAATGTTGTCACGTTCGGCCGTCAGGTGTGTTTGAACCCACGAGCAGGAGGATGACGAGGACGCTCAAGGAATAATAAACAATATTTATTAAACAAAACAAAATCAAAATGCTGACAGGGCAGCTACTCACAAACTGGAAACAGGCAGATCATGGCTGACAGGACAAAAGGCTGAACACGACACCATGGAAGGATAATCCGGAGACAAAGACAAGACAGAAGAGAGCTGAATATATACACACACTGATTAGGACAATGACAGACACCTGAGGTGATTACCATGAGACACAGGTGAGACAGGGGCTGAACACAAGGAGGGAAAACATAGAGAGCTGAATCAGGAAACACGAGGAAACAGACAGAGACTGGACAAAAACCCTGAGACCCTACAAATGTTATGTTCATGCCAAATGTACTCCATGATGAGCTACAGCTAGCTGCTGCTACAAAATTATATGCAATACATTTCTGTGCAGTACAAATCAGGTATATAAAGGGAACGTTTATAAAACAGTCTTTAGACGAACAACAAAAATTTTTAGAACTTTAGGTTGTTCCAGATGGTATCAATCCACTTCAGTCTTTTTCTTCATTGGCTGCCAGCTTGTCAGTCAAGTTAGAAATTATCCATCCCTCCATTATCTTTTACCTGTTTCTTCCTTTTCGAGTCATGGGAGTCACTGGTGTCCATGTCCAGCAATCACTGTGCGAGAGGCGGGGGACACCCTGGACAGGTCTCACGTCCATCACAGGAGTTAGAAATGAACACTATTTTTTCAAATTGAGATTGTTCAAAACATAATCTTTGGTCATCAAAGTTTTTGTGAATTGCTTCGAAAACAACCAGTGTATTTTTTCATGAATATAGCAATGGGAGCATGACTGTTTAGTTTTTAAGACGTAATGTTTTTACATGAATTACAGTTTTGCACCTAAAAATAACAACCAATCTATAATGTGTACACAGTGCATAAACACTACAGTATGTAGTCAGTTGTTTTGATACTGTTAGTATCATAATTTGACAGTGTTGGGACGCAATGATCTATATGGTCTATCATTGACCAGATCCAAGAATTCTGGCCAATTATAGACCTATATCTAATCTAACATTCATCTGAAAAATTCTTGAGATAAATCACAAATCAATTGTGTGACAATCTGGACACAAATAATCA